TAAGGTGAAAAGGTCCGCGACAACTGAAGTGTTTCAACATCTGCATGATTCATGGTTAAACAGTTATTAAAAATGCAGGTACGTTTATACGGGTCCCAGGTACGTTTACACGGGTCCCAGAGGAGGTCTTCGTTGGCCACTGGGACCCCGGTGGCCCCCTGCTGTTAAAAATTGGTTTTCAAAAACTTGACAATGTGTGCAGCCGTAGAAACAGGCTTTGACACACACACACACACACACACGCACACATGTCTCCGTGGCCGCCTCCTCACCAAACATGGCAGGTCCGCTGTTTCTTTGCTTACCTTTCTACGTCCACTCTCCATCACTTCTCATGAGCCTATGTCGTCGTGTGACCAATGTCAATGAGTCTAAGTGAGCATGCGGTACCACTTTAATGTAAAGACCGTGATTGCAGTGGGGCTCCGTCGTCGACGCCCTCAGCCCATGTGGCATTGTAATCCTATATCCTTTATAGTGCGCTGTCCAAATCTGAAATGATGTCCTGAACATAAAATGCAGGGGAGAGATGCGGGGTGCAAATGGAAGTGCTGTAGTAACACTAACACCATTTACGTACCAACCGTGACTTTGGGTCACACCAGAAAAGGTGCTCTCTCGATCGCTGCTAGATGGTCCGGTGACACATGTGGTGACATTGGATACACATTACTCACACCGAATGATCATTTACAGAGTGATTGCATGTTTGGTGGGTTATTTGGCAAGTTGAACGTTGAGTGAATAATTGAACTTTTCTTCGTGTTTGCTTTTGGTATATTTGTTGGTCAACCCAAGGATGGGAATGAAAAGCCTGACCGATAGATAGATTGCCTGCTTAAATGGTGATTGAACCAATGTGCATTTCTTTCCGATGCCAATCATGCTGGCCATTGAACCGTAGCATGCTTGCGCAGCCAGGATTGTCAGATAAATTGACCTGCTCTGATGATGCAGTTGTGAAGTTGGAGGTCAAAGTTTTTCGCAGGAACTAATGCTCCAAAACTCCACCGGCCTTACCAGACATAGGGTCCGTTCACGTTTGTGTCAGTGGTCGACATTAATTTGCTTAGGACTTGGGACTAGAATCAGAATGTACAGCAACAAAGTTGCCAAAGCAGTCCAGTTGTGGGCTGTGTCAACCAGATGAATCTAAAACCCTCGCACTTGGTAGAGCCGACAAAATGGCAATGAGTGCTTTCTTTGCCACTTGGATGCACAATTTTCACTTGTCCAAAGAAGGAACCAGTGCCGCGAGCAACCATGTTGAGGAGACATAGTTTTGCAAAAGGCATGCGTGTTTGAATAGCCCAATCAGAACTGCTGGCTGTTCACAAACCAATTTGCAGCCTTGGGTGCTTCAAAAGAAGCACGTCCTTCACAATGTCTGTAGTTTTTGCAAGTTTCAGGGACCAAGAATTCGCAGGAATTCACTGCTGTGGTCTCAGGTCTTCAGATTGCGTGGATGAGGCGGGCGAAAGTGTCGAACTGAAGTCTCTGTCAGAGAAGGGGGTCATAAGGTCACAAACAGAGTGCCCACTAAGACTCACCCGCACACCCTTTATGTTTCTCTTTGTGTGTCCCTCTAGCTCTAGCTCTAGCTCTAGCGCTCTCTCTCCCTCTCTCTCTCTCTCTGCCCTCTTGCTCTCAGTTGTTTGCAGCAGTTCCGGCCGGGGTCTCAGCTTTAGGGAAGCAAGACTTGCCAGTTGAAGAGAGGAGCCTTTGGATGGGTTGAGTAGTGAACGCAGGTACAAAGATATAGAGAGCAGACAAAGGACAAGATCAATTTTGCGAAGAACCCACCCTTCTCATCTAGATGGTGGCTGACAGGTGCTTTTATCCCAATTTTCCTCAACAGTGCCAGTTTGGTGCCCAGTTATTCACTCCAAGTAGATCAACTTTCCAACGATTCAGGGGGTGGGCGGTGATCGGTTCGGACAGAAACGAACAGCACTCTGCCATGCTCTGCCGGGTTCAAGGGACACATGACAAATTCCATAGATCAGTCCGAGCTGAAGCTTCTCAGGGGCGACTTTCCCCGATTTGGAGCATCAGCCGTGTTGTTTTGAGAGCTGAAGAACAAGTTTGGACTGCATCTATCAGAACTGCAAAGATCTCCTTCAAACCCAATTTAACAAAAGAAGAAGGACAAAAACAGAAAGAACCTGGAATGCAGCAAGATGCCAAGACCCTGTGGGTCGTAGGACGCCGCAGGATTCAGATGTCTTCCACCTAGCCGTCTTTCACCCCAAAGGTGTTCTGCCTCGCCTCCTCTCGCGGATCCGGCGATCCGCGACCGCTCATGCTGTGGCGACCGCTCGGCGACGTCTCCGCGGAGACGGAGCTGCGATGGAGCGGGGGCTCCTTACGCGGATCTTGTATCCAGCGCCGCAGGCGACCTACACGGCGGAGAGCTTCAAAGGCGAGTGGGAGCGGTGGGAGCAGTGGGTGCAGCGGTGTGGAGGTTTCTGGAGAGGCATCATCATTGGTGTCTCTAAGAGAGTGGCCTCAAGAAATGGACATCGAAAACGACCAACGACCTGGACCTTCATGGAAAAAAGGCTTTGTTCTTGGTGTCGGGTGGGCCGATCGGTGCTCCCCAGGTGCGCTGATCGGATCTGTTCAGAATCGTAGGACTCTCGTGTGCGAGTTCAGATCGTGTGCGTGGAGGAGCACGGTAGAAGTTGGATGAATCAACTCCCCCCTTGGTTTCCCCCCGGAGGTGGCCTATGAGGGTTTTCAGGTGGCCGACCCGGGCGGTGGTCGATGCAGAGAGTTTTCGAACAGGGCGGCGCGAAAGAGGGACATGGAGGTAATCCAGAACCAATCATGAAGTTGAATCACTCCCACAGCGGCTGGTCGGCTGGTTCGCCATGTGGCCCACTTTTGGCGCTCCCCGCCGAGTGGTCGGTGTGGTACAAGGGTGTGCAAGGGCTCGGACGACGCATGGTCGGTGCCTGAGGTGAACTCATTTGGATCCCAAAGAAGAGCTCGTTAGATGGAGACGCGCCCTTATTGGGCGTGGATTGCGTGCCGTGCCTTTTGTTGAAGTATCCCTACAGCCGATTCTTGGTGCTCTTCTTCCACAGTAACGCTGAGGATCTTGGTAGGCTTCAATTGGGCGCTGCGTGCCGGGGCTTTGGGGACGGCCGCCCAATTTGGGGGGGCCGTGAAGAGCAGGTGAACCTCCAACCAGAGGTATATGTTGAAGGGCCCAAAACAAGGATGCTTTGCAGAGGTTGGAGACAGACGAAGTTGTGGGTTCCCGTTTGATAAATTAAGCAAAGTGTGGTGGCTAACTATACATCCAATCACTTTGATGATGATGATGATAAAAGAATTCAGTAGTGCGATCCCTACTCTGCCTTGCTTCACATGACAGTGGCTTCATCAGATCCATGCTTTGATTCACAGCCTTTCGGAAGCAGAAATTTCAACAACTTGGAGAGTGACTAATCCGGCCCAGATGGGCCAGATGGGTGTCGATCCGGGGCTTGGAGGTGTCCCAAAGTGGTCCTGCAACATCCAGTCGTGCCATCCCTCATTCCTCCATTTGTGGGTGCTGAATTCCTCTCCTTGTCGCTTGGTCATGGAGGTGCTATTCCTTTTGTGTGGCGATGCGGGACCGCTTTCAGGTTCCAAAAGCCGGGGTGGGAGCCGCGGTTTCTGAGTTCACAGGGACATCTTAGCGTGGCATGGCGGTGTGAAAACAAAACATATACATAAAGCAATCAAGTAAATATACAATAATACAATCTTTTCAGTGATACCATATCAATCTTTGGATCGCTGGGGGCAGTCTGAATTTCATGTTGAGGTTTTGTGAGGTCTTGGGTTAAGCATGTGCCACCTCACCCAGATGCTTCCAGATTTGTCTCGTCCGCAAAAGGTCCAGGCCAGAAACACCCCCCATGGCCGATGGAGGATTTCTGGTGAGCAAATTGGTCGGGATCAATCCTTGCACCTCATTGATCTCTCCTTTCACCTGGTTGACCCACACTTTGTCACACGTGCGGCGTCTGACAGCTTCATAAATGGCGTCTGACAGTCACGCTCCGCCGGAAAACCATATGGGGTGAAAGTGGCGAAACACAGTGGGAGGTCCCTTGTGCTTGTTTCCGTGTGTTCTTTGCTGCAGAGAGGTTTCTATGGAATTGTATCCTCGACATGTGCAAAACATGCCGATCATGCCGAAAGAAGATTAAGTGCTTTGCAGAAGTCTTCTTAGGGAAACTATAGGGAGTCCTAGCGTTATCCGTTCTTCCAATTGCGCATTGACTGGCGGGGTGAGCACTCTGAACGGATGAGGTGCACGTGTTGGCTGTGGAGTATCCCGGCTATGGGATCTGTCCGGGTGTGGCCACTGGGCCGTCGGTCATGGAGAACGCCTTCTCAGCGCTGCACTTTGCGACGCAGAGCCTGCGCTGGCCACTGGAGTCCTGGATGCAGACGTGTGGCATGGTGTGGCCACTGGGGTTGGACGGTGTAGACAGTGTAGCGCCCCAGACAAATCTCCCCATATACCACATGGATGCACTGCATCTATGGACAGAGCAGCCATCCGCCGCATAGTGGGACCATCCAGGAGGTGGAGTTCAACTTGATCAGAGAAGACACAGTTTTTTTTTCATTTTTCTCGCAAGCTGGCGACGGAACCATAGTCCCGCTTGCTTGGACAATCTTGGTCTTTTGGGAGGCTTCCATCCAACATATAACCCTAAACCCTAAACCCCCCCCCCCTAAGCAGCTAACCCTCGGTCCGAGAAACCCGTCACACCGACCTCGCCTCACATCGACTCCGGGCAGGATAGCATTTTCATCTTTGGGCGCTCGATCGGCACGGGCCCCGCGGTGAAACTCACGTCGCTCTTCCGCTTCGCTGGGGCCATCCTGGTGACGCCCTTCCTGTCGATCGGCGAACTGTTTCGGGACCGCGTGGGGCCCTTGGCTCAGCTGGTGGAGGACCGGATGTGTGTTTTGGTGTGTGTGTGTGTGTGTCCACTCCTGTTTCCAAGGACACTACCCTAGTTTTTCTAATCTACCCTACAAGCTTTTCTGTACAGAAGCAGGGGGCACGGCGGCCGTTCACCTAGCCGTGCTAACAAAGCTATGGTGTTCGGTTGGAAGAGATACTGGACGCAGTATCTTGTACCTGCAATTTTTTAATCTTCACTCATTGATGCTTCTAAGTCAGTTCAACGCTGTCTCATACGTTGATTTTGCGATAAAGGGCTAATGCTTGTAACTAAATGTAAAGGGCTAATGCACACCGCGAAGCTACCTGAAATCACGCTCCACGGAGCAACCTTCTCAAGTGTGTTTTCGCAGCTTCTTCCCACTGTGGTGAGCTGTGTGATCCCTACGGGGCGCCGTTACCGCAAGAACCTGTTCACTCCTCACCGAGGGAGTAAGTTTCCTGAATTTTCTCTGAAGTCCCTTAGACTGAATTTGACCTGCTCGAAATCAGCTTGGATCGTCTCACCCAGCACACGTGAAGATTACTGCAGAGTTCACTGAAATCCTTTCTGAATCCCACTGCAGAGTTAACTGAAAGAGTTTCACCCGGAAATCCATTCATTCCTTTCAAATCTTTTAACCTTTCAAATCTTTTTAACCTTCCAAGTTTTAATTCCATTTTCCAGAATTTAATTGCGGTTATTCAATACACTTCACAACTTTTTCGACCTCACGGACCTTATTTATTTATTTTCATACATACATACATATTTTCACTGTCTTTGACTTGCCGAGCAGCCATGACGTATCCCTGGCCCTATTCTTTGCCGCCACACATCCATCCACAACCACAACCTACACAACCCCATTGGATTCAATTCCCACCACAGGCTTCACCACAACCTTTTCCAACACTGCCACCGACTCCACCGCAACACCCAACCTCACATCACTACCCATTGCCCATTACACCTCCACCTCATGCTCAATACATCCAACCACATCAACTTCAGGCACATTTTCCAGTGCAACCTACGGCTCCCTTCGACACTACCCAACTTGCGCAACAACATCCACATCTCACAACTCAATCACCACAATCCCAAGCTCACACACATCTTACATTGCCACTTCAGTCTCAATCTCAATCTCAACCACCACCTTTACCTCCCCAACCACATCCACCACATCTACCACATCAATTACATCCTTCACCACACGCGACAAATCAAACTCCTGCCACAACATCCTTTCAACCACCACCACTACAAGCACCTGATGTACTACAAGCACCACCACCTGATCCAACAACAATCACTTCACAGCAGTTGACCACACCAACTCCACCACCACCACCTTATACTTCAACAACCTCACCAGCGACTACTCAACCTGCTTCAGCATCCATCAACACACCCGCACAGCCTCCGCCACCACACCACATTCCACGCACTACCAAGCCAACACCTTCCATTGCACCAACACTCAGCACTACAAGAGGCATTTGGCGCGACCCAGATCGCTCACCACCACGCACACCTGAACACCACCGCTACTCAGCCTTTCCAGCCGTACCTTCCATTGCACCATCACAAGCTACATCCAGATCCAGGAGCCGCACTCGATCACTACGTACCACACGCTCCCCACTACCAAGACGTCGAAGCTCCGTCACACAATCTGTGGCTAGTTCTCAAGCTCAATCCAAACCTGCAGACAGACAAGCATCACAATCACCAGCAATCACCCAAGACAAAGCTCACACTTCCATCCAAAACATCACTACAGCTACTACTGCAAAACACACTCCTGAGCCACCTCGTCGTACTTCGAGCATTACACTCAAGCCCAACCCGCATTTCACTCCCAAACATCCCACAAAACAGACACCTCCACCACCACCACCAGCACCAATACCTGCAATTCCAGTCCAACGTCGACCTCACAACTTGCCACCTCCAATTTTCCAACCACCCACTGATCCAGCACAATTGGATGTCTTCCAATGGCTCAACCGCTACGCACAAGCACTTGATGTCAACAATGAACCCATGCTGTCCTACGTAGCCAAGGTGCTCAGTGCAGCTCATCTCAACAGCACCCACTTTACCGACCTACAACTTCTCACCCACAAGAAATGGAGCGATGACACCAACAAAGAAGAACATTATTCCTTCCTACTACTCACAATCCCCACATTAGCGAGCAGGGGCGACGCCCCGATTCTTCCTCCTACACGGAGAGAGGCGCTGAACATACCACCTATCAAACACATTTTTGCGGCACATGTTAGCGAGGAGGGCAACATTATTTCAATCCTTGAAGCAGGAGAAATCGTGCGATCCATTCTGCATGATGATCACAATGTGGGATATTTTTGTCAGGCGTTCGAATTGTCGAACTACGAGCCCCATGATGCTGCTGAAGCTGCACGCGTCCTCTTCAACGCTTCCAACATGGCCAAGAACCGCAGCGGTCTCATTCTGACGATCAAAGCCTATGGACACGGCCAGAAAGTCACTCATGGTGGCGAATCCGCAGCGAATGACTTGCTGCTCAGAGGAGAGGGGATTGTAAAATACACCCCAGGAAAATGCTGGGTGGCCCATCCCAAACATTCCAGAATAGAAGGGATAGCTTGGAAAAGCGATGCAAAGCCACCGCTCAGTTTCATTTAATTCAATCTATTCAGCTCACGAGGTTCATTTTTCACCCCGTATCTTGGATGACGACCAAGCCTCAAACAATCTCAGCCAGCCTGCCTGATTTTGATATTGACTCTGATTTTCTCACACATCGCTGTCAACTTCCTTTTCTTCCGATATGTCATTCTTGTACAGATTGATGCAGACAACATGATCTTTTTTACGGTCACTTTTCCAATTTTCCAGACTTGCAGCATGTCAGCATTCCTGGTTGTTATCAAGCTTTTCGAAGAGAGTCACAAGCACTTCGAAGAGAGTCGCAAGATTTCCCGTGATTTGCAACCTGCCCCGCAGCCATTTTGTATTATATTGAATATTGAGCTCGATCCCCGACGACCAACCGAGCTATATTTGCCTCCCGACGACTACCACGACGATGACTTCCCCTTTGGACACAGCATTTGCCCATCGACTTCTTTTGGCACACCTTCAAGCAGCCACCTCCATTGCTACTACTTTTCAAAACCTTCCACCATTTACACCGCAACTACCACAACAAGCACATCACCCACTCACTACCACTCCACCTTCTCCCCAAAGACCAGCCAGACACACTCCTCCACCACTGCAACCACAGCCGTCTTTCTCACGCAGCCGCAGTCCGCCTCCCGCCAAAGGCAAACCATTCATGGAGTGCAAACCAGAACCTTCTCCTTCACATACGCCCACTTCACCACATCAGTTTTCACCACACCGCCACAAGTCCAAAGCGACTCACCAACACAAGAACAATACAGACCTCCAGAAACAGCGTACACCACCAATCACAACGATTTCTCTCACCAGTTCGCCCAATTCACCTCCACAAACATCACCAGTTCCACCCATTCCGCCACTACCCACACCAATACCACCTGCATCACCAGTACCACCATCCAAACCAGCACACCTCCTCACGGATTCACCACACTATCCTGACAATGGAGGATGGGAACCCAGTGAAGATGAAAAACTTGCGGCCTTTAAACTCAACAAAAGATCTCGCCCCAGTTGGAAATACATAGCAAAAGCACTCAACAAAACACCTTTTGACTGCAAAGGTCGATGGCAAGTCTTGCGAATTCTTTATACACCTCAACAGCCAGACAGTCCAGAAGCAGAAGCATCATCACCACACAAGGCATCTCAACAAGCAGAGGCAACTCCTCCAGCCACAAAAGATGCCAGTACGATGACTACGGAACCTCCGGATCTGACTGACAAAGAGACATAGAATACACAACAGCAGTCTATGAACGTCCAGACAGTGCTTTCCACGACTTCTTGGTGCTGAAGAACATCCCGAACTATTGATGCCTTTGTACTGTATTTTATTGTCAATTCGTACATATTTACATATTGGCTTATTGCTTATTGCTTTTTGTCGTTCCAGCAGTTGCGAGCAATAGACTCCAACCCACAACACACCATTGCAGCTTTCTTCCACATGCGCAGCAAAAAACAAGATCGGTCGCCAGCAGTGCACATTTTGCTTGAACACATTTTGCTTGAACACTTGCCACAACCTCTCGACCACTGAAGCATCGCCAATACTCTGTACAGACCAGTTTATTCAGTCTAATTCATCGTTTCATTGCATCCATGCGAATCACTATCGAATGGTCTCCCTATTGTTGAACCGGATGAACTTTTCGTTTCCAAGTTTTTCTTTTGGAGCCAAACCACAGAAGCCAAACCAAACAAAACCACAGAAGCCAAACAATTCATGCAACCACTTATTTCTTGCATCATTGACTTTCTACGAGGCCTCACACCACCAGCCGGCGAAGGCACAGCACTCCGAAAGCTCCAGCAACAGACAGATCGCTTACAACAACAAGAGAGCGAACTCCAGCGCGCTCGCGACAAGCTGAAGAATCATGGCATTGCACTCACACCAACCAAGCCAGGGTCACACCATGCCCCATCATCCGCCACCCACACACCGCATCTCCCACTCCCAGCCTCTACCGCCATCACAACCACCACCATTCTTAATCCCACCACACAAACACTCCATGACAACTCACCAGCCAACTATGCAGCAGCTGGCATTCAAAAATGGCTCAAGACATTACCACCAGCCACTCAGACACAAGTTACCAACATCCAGCAGATTCTTCGCGATGAACATATCACAAAAGAACAACTCCAAGAAGCAGCTACCCGCTACGGCATTCCGCTGGCTCGGGTCCTCAAGCTTCCCCCACGTTCACTACAGCAACTGGTGGCCGCGGGTTCGGCATTGGCAGCCTGACTCGTACAACAAGCGCTGCATCAACCAACACATCACACCCTACAATCTTTAACAACATTACACACAGCGCTCTCACACTTTGTCCATTTCACCCCCTACATTGACAAGTCACACGCTATCTTTTCTGTCAGTCTTATTCACCTTACGTGCCTCTTTGCCTTTCCTTCGCAAACACATCACTCTATACAATGGCGCTCCCGTTTCAACCAACTACAAGTTACACCACACACCTATCACTACCAAATGTTCACACATCCCAATGCGGTTTATGCCAAGCTCTTTTTCAACCAACATCACACAAGACACCAGTACCACCAACATGGACATACATACATCGGCTCTACCAGCATCACTATCCCCAAGCGAGAATACAATCGTCACGCAAAACTCAAACAATTACACAATAACCACCCAATTTCAGCTGAACTTTCTCTACGCTACTGGCACTCCAAGAACAACCTCCACCACTACAGCACTATTTACCTTTCCCATCACGACACCTATGATCAAGCATGGACCTACGAACACCTGCGAATCCAAGAATGGCAACCTACACTCAATTGGCCCTATATCCAACGACACCTCAAACTCAAAGCCTCAGGTTGGCAATTCTCAAAACACCGCACCACTTTCACACGGATGTCCACTCACAAACGTCTCTTCCAACGGCTCCGACGACGACAACACACCATTAAGCAACCCCACCTTCACACAAGTCAACGCCTACACGCCCTGACAGTTTTACGCGAACTCAGCAAGCATACACTTTCATCTTTTCAAACATCAACAGCCATCCGCAGCGGCAAATACACTGATCTCGAAATTTACGCTTTCCGTCGAATGGCCGCTAGCCTAGAGGAACCAGATCGATCACGTGTTCTTCACCTTCTCCACTCAGCGCTCAGCTTTCGCAATCTCACTCCACCCAAAGCCAACAAACCCTTTACCATTCCTTTCCTCTCCCACAGTACCTTCTCGTCTTCCACGGAAAAATGGCTTCGCACACTGATCCAACACCACATGCATCACGTCATTCCCTTCCACCCCCCTACTACCAAACTACGCGAAGCAGCACACAAGACTTTGCGTTCCCGGCTCTACAACCACAAACGTTGGGAAGAACTCTTCTCCACACATCCCACAGCAGCTGACATGCCATGCAGCTGCCACCACATGCACACCTTGCTTCGTCCCAACCACACACCGCCGCTCTACGATGGTCACTACGTGCTTACACTTGAAGACCTACAGCTCCCCAGCCATCTTGAGCTATTCCTACAAGCCAACATGAACAGCACTTTCTTTCCCACAAAGACGCAATATTTCCAACACTTTCAACAACAACTCACTTACTGGCTACGACACCATGGTCTACCCACCGCACTCCATCAACACAGCCTACCTTTTCTACACCAACAATGGAAACAGCACATCGACAATCTTCTATACACGCCCCGCTTTACATCCCGCAACGTTACCCAACTTCAACAGTTTCTTACAGACAAGCTGGTACTCCATCATGCTGACCATGAACTACAAAACCTACGACTCTTTTGCCCACAGCACTACTTCCACGGATGTCTCACCACATGGAATACACCACAACTTTTTCTCCCACTACCAGATCTCACAGCCCAACAACTCCACCAATTTCTCACACAATCCTTCCCAGCCAGCATTCGCAAAGCATACCCCTGGGGCTTCCGCACAAAATTCTACACGCCACATGGAGTAGTTTTCCTCAAACAAAAGAAATCCTGGCGAAAGGGTAGAACAGTCATCAGCTATTTCAGATCCATCGCAGGCACATTATTACGAGCCACCTCCAAAGCATTAGACATTATGCTCCTTCATCTTCTACCACAACATCCAGGCCAATTATCTATACCCAACCTTTGGCAACACCTCCACAACCATTTCCAGACCACACCCGAAGACATCCACCTCACACCGATCAACGACGACCTTGTCGGCTTCTTCAACAGCGTACCTCAACAACGCCTTGTCGACGCAGTCATCAGCCTGTGCCACCGCTGGAAAGCACAACGCAACACCACTACCATCACCATCGATGTCCAGTCTACCGGCAATCCCATCCAACACTCACACATCGGTCGCCACTACATCCACCACCCACAGCAACGCACACTTGACACACAACACATTCCTCTTATCGTTCAACAAGCTCTTCACTCATGCATTTTCCAAGCTTGCAACACCTACTACAAACAAATTCAAGGAGCCGGCATTGGCAGTCAGCTCTCACCAGCACTTTGCAATGTGGCAATTACACTCATTGAACACACTTGGCAAACCACATACCACAACTTCTTACACCAACCAAGCCTTCACTTGCTCAACACTCGCTACGTCGACAACCGATACATCTTGCTCAACGAACAATACAGATCAGCACTCCCCATCACTACATTGGCCCATCCTGAATTTTATGAACAACCAGTTGAAATAGAGCCAGTGGACGACGACCATCTACTCGGTTTCTTGATTGACCCTCTCAACAGAACCGTCACCTTCCAACTCCCCACCCATTCCTGGCAGATTCGTGATCCGCAGTCAGCAGGGAGTCACAGACTACGCCTTTCAGGCTTACAATCACGCCACCACACACTACAAAAATACACTTACCCAAAACATCTTGCGCACACGACCGCACAGAAGTTGATGCAGCTATATATGGCCAAAGGCCATTCACCAGCACACTGCGCCGCGGCGCTGCGGCCAAGAGGAAAAAGACTATGTGCCGGCACTTTCGCAGACTGCAGTGATATGTATTTTACAGTATTGAACCTTTCAATGTCAAGCACTTCCACTATTTATTATCCGGGCCCTACCTGATCCGATCTAGTTGCGCCGATACGGCTCAGTGTGTGTGTCCACTCCTGTTTCCAAGGACACTACCCTAGTTTTTCTAATCTACCCTACAAGCTTTTCTGTACAGAAGCAGGGGGCACGGCGGCCGTTCACCTAGCCGTGCTAACAAAGCTATGGTGTTCGGTTGGAAGAGATACTGGACGCAGTATCTTGTACCTGCAATTTTTTAATCTTCACTCATTGATGCTTCTAAGTCAGTTCAACGCTGTCTCATACGTTGATTTTGCGATAAAGGGCTAATGCTTGTAACTAAATGTAAAGGGCTAATGCACACCGCGAAGCTACCTGAAATCACGCTCCACGGAGCAACCTTCTCAAGTGTGTGTGTTTTGGGCCTTTGGCTTTTGGGGTGTGTGTCTTGGGATGGAAGAATGGCTTGAACGGCGTATTCCACAGTGGAACGTGCATTTTGGTGCTCGACCCGGGTCCTTTGGTTTCTTGGACCCGGTCGTAGGGATTGGTGTTGGAGACACACCCTAAGACGGTCCTGCAATTGGTGCCATCGCCTGTGACAAAGAATCCCTTGCTCCAACTTCTTGGGTGGAGGAGTGGTACCCCAACCTGGAGCTCAGCAAGCTGCTTGGTGGAAGATGCAATGAGGAATACTACATATAAGCCGGGGAAATGGGCTAGGCAGCAGCTAGACAGCTGGTTGATGGACATCTCTTTGAGCTGGTTGATGGACATCTCTCCAAACCGGACTCCAGTTTCTTTGGATCGCTCCGCAGGTTTCACAGGCAAACCAAACCAAACACAGCGCCACAGCTGTGTTGTGTTGGTTGACAGGTTAAGCTATGGTACCGAGACCACCTTGATTCAACTTGATTCTTCTTGCTCACTCGTTTGCAGTGAATCTTCTATACTTTTCTAATTGACTGTCCCATGGCTGGCCTGCTTGGATGATGATCCCAGTTACACTTGCGGTGCGTTCATGCCACTTGGCGAGGCCCTCCCCCGATTTCTTGCGTGGACTGCTCCAGGCCTCCATCATGCCCAGCAAAACAACTTGGTCATCCAAGCACAAGGGGCCGCCTTTTTCCCGAATGCATAGCGAAGGGTTCTCGTTTAACTCTGGGGGTCTGGGGGTAGAGCCTTGTTCGCGACGAAACTGTTCGCAACCGTCCGCAATAGGGCGCTAAGGCCGCTGCCATTGGGGGAAGCTTTTGGAGAGGGTTTCGGATGAAAACATGACGTGTCAGATTCGTGTGAAATAGCGAGGAATCGTGTGGAAATGTAAGATGTTGAAGTGTGGAGGATGATTTCACTGCGCAGGCGCAGCGTTTTGTGAGATCCGCAGTTTGCTGCGCAGTTCCATTGGGATTAGCGTTTGGAGAGTCGTGTTTTTGGGGTGTTGGATGTGGCCGTGCCATTGGGATTTGCGTTTCAGGGTGTGGCATCGAAGCTCTGTTTTCGTGACCAGTCTCAGCTGAAATGGCGATTTTGGTGGATGGGAGTGTGCTCAGAACGGGTCGAAATCATTCCAAACGTGTGGTGTGGTGCAAATTTTGTTGAAGCTCACATGAGATGATATTGTCACTTTTCGTGGCAGGCGCAGTACTTTGTGTGGGTTTTGAGGTGTGGAAGTGCGATTTTCGTGGCAGGCGGAGGGAATCGTGAGGTTGCGAGGTGTGACGGAGGTGACATTTCGTGGCAGGCACAGTACTTTGTGCGCGTTAGACGTGTGGACGCGGAAAGATTCGTGGCAGGCGCGGGGAATCGTGAGGTTGTGAGTTGTGGTAGAGGTGAATGTCGCTGTCACATTGGGATGAGCGGGTGGTTGTTTGGAGGAGCTGGAATCGCGAAACTGCTTGGCGGGGCTGCGTGATGTGTCTGCTCCGATGTGTGTTTCCGCTTAACTTTTGGAGGAAGTCTCGTACGAAACGCTCGTTTTGCAGACTTTGACATGTGAGTTTTTGAGGAAGTCTCGACGCTCGTTTGGGAGACTTGACGTGTGACTTTTTGAGGAAGTCTCGTACGAAACGCTCGTTTTGGAGACTTGACGTGTGACTTTTGGAGGAAGTCTCGTACGAAACGCTCGTTTTGGAGACTTGACGAGTGACTTTTGGAGGAAGTCTCGCACGAAACGCTCGTCTTGCAGCCTCGAAGCGTGACTTTTGGAGGAAGTCTCGCACGAAACGCTCGTCTTGCAGCCTCGAAGCGTGACTTTTGGAGGAAGTCTCGTACGAAACGCTCGCGTGACTGCTTCTTATAGCGTGTGGGCAGACCGTTTGGCGACGCGACGTTCGTGATGTCGCAGTGCCATTGGGAATTGCGCAGCCTTGGTGGAAAGTGCGTTTGCGTGGCGCCGTGCCACTAGGGAGCGCGAAACACGCTGGCGTAAACGCGGCGTGTCACTGGTGAGCGATGTGGTATCATGTGATATGTTTGCTTCAAGTGTGTGGGCAGACCGTGTGGCGACACGACGTTCGTGAGGTTGCAGTGCCGTTGGGATTTGCGCAGCCTTGGTGGACAGCGCGTTTGCGTGGCGCCGTGCCACTCGGGAGCGCGAAACAGGCTGGCGTAAACGCGGCATGTCGCTGGTGAGCGGGATGATTTGTGGTATCATGTGTGCAGTGTCTGGGCAGGCCGTGTGGCGACGTGACGTTCATGATGTCGCAGTGCCATTGGGATTTGCGTGGCCTTGGTGGGAAGTGCGTTTGCGTGGCGCCGTGCCACTGGGGAGCGCGAAGCACGCTGGCGTAAACGCGGCGTGTCGCTGGTGAGCGGGATGATTTGTGGTATCGCGTGATATGTTTGCTTCAAGTGTGTGGGCAGACCGTGCGGCGACGCGACGTTCGTGATGTTGCAGTGCCATTGGGATTTGCGCGGCCTGGGTGGGAAGTGTGTTTGCGTGGCGCCGTGCCACTGGGGAGCGCGAAGCAGGCTAGCGTAAACGCGGCGTGTCGCTGGCGAGCGGGATGATTTGTGGTACTTCTAGTGTCTGGGCAGACCGTGTGGCGACGCGACGTTCGTGATGTCGCAGTGCCATTGCGATTTGCGCGGCCTTGGTGGAAAGTGCGTTTGCGCGGCGCCGTGCCACTGAGGAGCGCAAAACATGCTGGCGTAAACCCGGCGTGTCGCTGGTGAGCGGGATGATTTGTGGCATCAAGATTGTCCCAAAAGAGTGCCCCGCAAGAGCTGACCCACAAGAGTGTCCTACAAGAGTGTTCCAGATAGAGTGTCCCACAAGAGTGTCCCGTATGAGTGTCCCACGAGTGTCCCGCGAGAGTGTCCCGCAACCGTGTCCCACAAGAGCGTCTCACAAGAGTGTCCCTTAAGAGTGTCCCACAAGAGTTTCCTACAAGAGCGTCCCACAAGAGTGTCCCACAAGAGTGTCCCACAAGAGTGCCCTACAAGAGTGTCCCACAAGAGTGTCCTACAAGAGTGTCTCACAAGAGTGTCCTACAAGAGTATCCCACAAGAGTTTCCTACAAGAGTGTCCCACA